AATACTTTGGCCACCTAATGAGAAGGAAGGACTCCCTGGAGAAGAGCCTAATGCTGGGAACAATAGATGGCAGAAGAAGAAGGGGATGGCAGAGAATGAGGTGGCTAGATGGAGTCACTGAAGCAGTTGGTGTGAGCTTAAGTGGACTCCGGGGGATGGTGGAGGATAGGAAAGTCTGGAGGAATGTTGTCCATGGGGGTCGTGATGGGTTGGACACGACTTCACGACTAACAACAATAATACTTGGTTTCTGTGCACAAGATCTTAAAATCACCCCATGGCACCTTATTAAAACATTCAGACTTTTTAGTTGGGAAAAAGGCACCTTTATGCCATCTTTGTTGTTTGAAAAATAAGAATTTTTGATCAATTGAGGCTCCTGGTCCTAACAAAACTGCCTACTTGAGTTGAAGGATATTACATAGCAAGACTCAAAAGTCCTTTGACACTTGGGAACCATTGCCCGTCAGAGTGGGCTAAAGGGACCACTGATCTAATTCTGAATGGGAAAGCTTCATACTGTCCATTTCTCTTAAGTCTGGGTATGAAAAACAGGTAAATGTTTAGTCATCGTAAATACTACTATTAATTTTGGTGTGTTTCTTTGTTAGGACAAGAGCATCATCCTTAACGGAAGTGTTATGGTCAGCACATCTAGACTGCCAAGTTCTTCTCACAAGGAACAATTTAACAACGGTGACTGGGAGCGCTACAAGCTTTGCATGTGTTCTGATGGGACTCTATTTCGTGTTCAAGTTAAGAGCCGCAACATGGGTTGTCAAACCTCTGTCAACCCTTGTGGTAATACATATTGAAGGCAAAGCAGACCACTGTGGAAAAAGAAGGAGCCATCTATTAAAGTTTAAATAGTTGCATGCTTGCAAGGATGATCGCTACCACCACAAAAACCATTTGTGGATGCATTACATGAAGCGTTTTTCAAACAGGACACTTCATTTAATGGTGTTAGATTCGTATCAAACATGTTAAAATAGGTGATTTTCTACACGACTGCAGTAGTTTGGCACCAACAGCACTCCGTAGGTACATAAGGATGTTGCAGCACTGAGTTTATTAAACCCATTGCCAAAAGGCCTAATGTGCCTAGTTTATTATTCTACAGGGATCCTTTCCCCAATTGTTCTGTTAGACCTTTCTCAGAAGAGAAAACTGAGCTTCCATGCTCTCTCGGTCCTGAATGAATTCAAGTAGTTCTTTTGTAGTTTTGTGTGCACCTAATTCTGATATCCATTGAAAAATGTGGTTTTATGAAGCTCTTTCAACCCCGGGATTATGATTATATGCTACCAAATGTAAAAGGTTCAGAGTGGCTGGAGATTGTACATTTTCTTTTGCTTTGTTATGTTCCTCTATGGCTATGCAGACAAAGACTCAGTCCTTGTTTTCCTATCCTACTTTTCCAGCATAAGCACTCTTTCTGAAAATTATTTGGCTTATAATGCAAAGATGCACAGTTGAGCATTATTTGTGAAAAATCAGATTTGCCTGAACCGTGTTGCTTCAACTCATTTGGATTTGGTAGTTTATAATTCAATTAGGATATATTTCTCTATAAATGAAATGGGTATTTCATTTAGTCAAATTATCCCTAAAGTTGACCTTTTTGTATAAAAGAAGTATTTATCTGTTTCAATGCATTAGCTGTATCCTAGCTTTCCAATTTTTTTGCCTCTTCTGTAAGTTTGCCCTTTAAAAACCCTTTGCAGAGACCAAAGGATGTTCTCTGGGGCAAAGGGAGCTTCAAGCACAATTATTTTTGAGACTGGCTAAATTAGACTTACAAAAGAAGAACAAAAATGATAGAAATGTCTACTCAGCTATTATTATGATTTTTAAAATAGGGAAAATTTAAAAAGCATTTTGGAGAATAAGTGGAAGTTTAAGGTAAGAGGAAGCTAATCTTGAAAACACCTTGAGCTGTATTTATATTGTACAGAAAAGAAATTGTGATCTGTAAAACTGAATTATTGAATGCACTGTAACATAAACTTTGAATGTTTTATATCAAACTAGTCTACAATCATTAAATGCAAATTCATTACCCTGTGACCATTCATGAAAACAAGAAACATAGTTAATATTGGTAATATAAATGCTTATATGAAGGGTACAAAATTACAGCATCTTGTATTAAACCTTAATACCTCCTCATAAGCAAATGTTTGATACTAGGTTAACTTTGTCACATTTAAATTTTAAAGTATTGGTTTTAGTAATCTTGTTTTAATATAAAATTGATGTACCAGCTCTTTATATTGGGATCATGATATAGACTTGCTTTATAGGGCCATCGTAAGGATTTAAATAATGTATGTAAAGTGCTTCAAATACTTAAGATACACTAAATATTTAAGGTCCCATCTCATGCCTTTGCAAGCTTCCAACAGAATTCACAAGATATGTATGCTAACATACGCTAAGGGTTTTGTTGCATTTGAACTAAGTTGTCCTTGATGTCTTTCCTTACTTGGATGTTACAACATCAAATTCAGATGTACTAGAAATGGGAAGTGTGCATAGATGGGAGATCAGAACTGCAAAAAACACTTATCCTGTACATTAATACAAGAACAGAGTGACTGATTTGCTTTGCCTCAGCTTCTAATGCCTGTACTGTGATTTTGCAAGTCCTTGATGATGCTGCCACTAGCCCTCCCTCCCCCCCCCCCACCTCTTAGGATACCCATTAATGGAATCTGGCTTTTAGTAATGAAAATGGATGATCATTACATTCGTCTGCTGTAGTCTAGTAATAGCTGAATGGGAAAGCAAACAAACTACTGCTCATTTTATTTTTGACTTTTGGCAGTTGTCCCTAAATCAGCTTCTGTTTTAGATGAGTTTAAATAGAAAACGTTCTGTGCTGGCAGAGGATTTTTGAGTTCTCAGTAAATATCTCAAAATCAGTGAAGTATCTTGCTCTTAGAATATCTAAAGTAATATTTTAAAAACAAAAGTGTAACTAAATGAATGTACACAGGTCAAGATCCTGATAGCTGCAGGCACCTAAAGAATGTGCACCTAATCAATTTTTATTTCCCATTCTAGTCACCTTTAATTCATCAGATGTTATGAAGGGTAGTGCAGACCCTTGTATGGAGTAACTTTGGGAGAAGGCATGGATAGGAAGGGATTACATCTGGACTGCTGATGTATATGCAGACTTCTAAAAAATACAGTTGGGAACTATCAGGAAGCAAACCCATTTATAAGAAGCATTTGGTTCGGAGTATCCGAACAGCCAATACAGTATTGGCACTGTATCCACAAAGGATACAGTGAAAATCAATTTGCTACCAAACTTACGATTTTGACCGTATTATCAACCCAGTCACCTGCAGGCACTATGTGACAAAACTAAAATTTTAAGAATTTTTCTACAGAAAGCTAAAAGGCAAATTAAACAATAGCAATGAAGGAGTTAGAACGGAATACTCCAAAGTAATGCTACTACTGTGATGCTGTTACAGTTTATTTACACATGTGTCACTAACAGATTTATACCAAAAGAAACACCACTTTGATTTTAACTAGCTGTGTTTTGTGTGTGTGTGTGTGTGTAAGAGAAATTTTTTAACATATTTATGCCTTAGACTTTAATGCGCTGTGTACAAATGGCATACTCTGCTTTTTAAAGTGGTTTGGATGTCTAACAGGTGCCAAGGAAAACTTTCTTGTATGCATTTGTAAAACTTTCCTTCACAATAAACTATATAAAATGATCCATTTGAAATGGTTTTTTAAAAAATCCTACACCAGAACTGTAGTACAGTAGTTGTGAGAGTATCCCTCTTTCAGATGTGTTCATTGTCTTATGGTAAACACATTAAGGTTCACTCTCAGCTTTCCCCATTCCTGGCAGTAAGATAATCTCATCTTGTTGGGAGTTTTTGAAGGACTGCTGAGCATATATAAGAAGCATTGTCAACACTGCAACAGATCTGTACAGCTTATGACCTACAAAACCCCGGCCATCATAGGTTATTTGAAGGTTGAACAACCCTTGCCTAACACAATCCTAATACAAATCAAGAGTTAACACAAAGGTTGCTTAAACCTCAGAAAAACCATAATGACCAGCTTCACATGACATAGTAACTCCTTGACCAATGTTAACCAAGTATGCAGCAGAACTCTGGGTTAAACAATCCCCAGTGAGTCCAGGCAATCACCTAACAAACCAGATCAGCACAGCTGTCTCCCAGGACACTAACCCATTTTCCACCAGGAAAAACCAAGTGGGATAAAGAGTTCAAGTAGACAACCACATACAGCTGACTGGTCAGCCTGGTGGATCACAAGTTGTGCAAATATAGCATGTTAAACAGCATACTGTGCACCTGTACGAAGTTATATCCCCTTTGTCAAATCAAAATTGAGCATAGCCATAGAAATCAACTTCTGAAACCAAAATCACAATTTTTTTATTTGTGGAATACTGGTTTTACACAAACCCGCAGGAACCAATCTCAAATTCGATGGAATAACAGTACTTCAATCAATTTGAGCCACAGGACTTTAAAAGCACACCTCAAGTTTGCAATATGGAAACACTCAAGACATTAAAAAGCAGTCAGCATCATCAGTTCAACTGTTGTTTCTGCCACAGCAGCAGGTCACAAGAGGTTGTAACACACACTTTAGTCTCAAATTACAGAAAAAGTCTGTAAATTGGATTAATGCTATGCATATACAGAACCATATGGAAGGACAGATTCTAAGGCTTTCAAGAGGTATTTAGCAGTTGTCATTAGCTCAGGCACAGAGCAAATCATTACAATTCAGAGTATTTAAGCATTGTTCAGGAGTGGGAAGAAAAATCCTAAATTATACAGCATTCCAGTATTTCTAAAAGGAGGAAAAAATACCAATGCTTAATAGGTAGGAAGAGATTTAACTGCAGGCACACTTTTAAAATTATAAATTGGTTATGTAATGAAATGCATCTCTAAGGTATCAACTTGAGAGACTGAGGTGTACTAATTAAAAAAGGAAAGCAGTACATTATTCACATTTAATGCTTTATGGTATGTTTATATTACTGTAAATTATTCTACCATGAAACACTTTCCCAGTTTTGTTGTCCTTATTTATGAAAAGCAGAGAGATTTACACTTCACAAATTGACATTTCATCAGATCAAGAGGACCAAACTCCCATCTTCACTTTTCAATTTCTATCTATTTGGCAAGAAAGTAAGTTGTACTGGTAGGCAGTTATTACACTGCCCAAGAATTTAGTTTTTGTGTTTGAAAGTTAAGAATGCTTAAAGAAGTACATCCATCAATCTTTGGTATTCTATAAGGATCCCAATTGACAGTACTTGTGATCACACTTCCCTATGAACTCATTTCCCATTCAACTATTAGTTTTCATATGAGGTCACCAAAAAAAAAGTTACCTGACTTCAGGATAATTGTATGCACATCTTGCCAGAACTTATGCAGAAAAGGCTGGGGCATTTTCTGCATCAAGTAGTTCATTGACACACCACCCCTTTAAAAAAAGAAAAAGGAGGACAGGAAGCATGCTATTTAGAGAATTCAAAATTTCTCCTGGGAAATTAACAGCTGAGAGAAATTTGCTATTTATTCTGGAAACCTCGCACAAATGAAAAAAGGATTTAGACTCTGACAGAGAATCCTTCTGTGTTCGCTAATAGAAAGCTCAACAAAATTAGTGATGTCAATGGCTTGAAGAACACATGCCATTCCAAGCAATCCAAAAAGGCAGACATTGGAAGATCTGTTTAGTGATAAAGTTAATATTTCTAATCATGATCTAGTCAACTTTTCCTAATTTGGTGCCTTCCAGATGTGGAGTGTAAACCCCATCATCCTCACTCACCTTGGCTATTACACCTGTGGAAGACACCAAGTTGGGGAAGATTGATCAAGGGTATAAAGCAATTGGGCTTTCCTTCCTTTTCTCTTATATTTAGGCATGTATACCAACAACAAGAACTGTGCATCACTTCAGAAACTAATCTGCTTTAGAGCCTACTCTCCATAGCAAAATTCAAAGGTCTATTCTCACTGTGTTATATTCTTGACTATATTCAGCAGAGCATCCTATTGAGCAGGATAAGAAATTCTGTACATCATCAAACCTTTCACAGTCGCCTTTCATGAAGTAGATCTTACCATGCGTAGTAAGGAAGACAGCAACTTCTGCCAACAACCACAAAAAGAAGCACTTTGCATATGTACTTTAAGTCACCACATGTGTCTTTAGCCACAGATTAGCCCTAAACAATTTTAACAGCCCGATTCCTATATATATTTTATCAGTAACTTCTGAAGCCAAAGTCTAATCCATTTGATGAGGGCTTATATTTTTTACTCTATTATTTGCACCCAAGTACAAAAATATGATGCAAGAATCAGTCCTAAGAACTGGCTAACTGCCTTTTTGTTAACTTTACATGGTATTTCCATATTTAAACTAGATGCTGTTGTCTTCTTTAGCCATAATCTCCCATTATTGAATGTGCCTTCTCTCTCAGAATAAATCCTGATATTTTTAATGTACTTTTTGGAGCTTCACAAGTTTTCATCTATGGCTGTGCAAGTTGGAATACATGTAGTAGTCCCTAGAAACCAGAATGGTTTAATAAGGAGCTTGTTGCTGCACATTGCCATGTGTAAATGCGTATCTTCATATGTTGCATGCTTGTATACAAGCAACTGCAGAATCTATTGCTCTTTATCTGCTTCCAATAACAAGCTAAACAGATGGGTGATATTTCAACACAATTCTTTATTCATATTCATTAACACACAAAAACTACTTTTTGGTGACTGATCTGAAAGAAAATAGTTTGCTAAAATTCTACAACTGCAACAGCTGGGATATTAAGTTATGCACACTTGGTCTTTTCAGCCTCCCAATTCTGCCTTGCCTATCTGCCCCACAAGCCCACCTGAAGGCTAGGGGAATGGATTCCATGATTTGAAAACATACCACTGGAAAGGGGAAAGGTTCTGTACCTTCCTCCCCACTTCAGTGCAGAAGCACATGAGCATGGGCCTCTTTCAATCCCAGTGCGTTATTTAAAAGCACCCTGTCCTAGAAGAGGCTGGTGCCTATACATGTTTTGCCAGCAACTTCAGTTATTTAAAATATTAAATATATATTATTTGTATGGATTTGATCTGTTGTTTATGCTCAGCTGTAAGAGTTTGGAATCAAGAATGTTTGCCTATTTTGAGTTTTCTACAAAATGAAGATGCCTACTAATGTTTTATTGCAAATTCCAGAGTTAACTAAATGTTCATTAAACACACATTACTGGAGTTCTGGAGGTATTTCCATAAGATTTGCTATCCCCTTAGCAAACTTTTGCCAAAAGTTGAAGCAAAGGTAACTGTCTTATCCCACTCATCTAGATTCCTTAAGCAAGCAATGGCTTGAACGTTCCTGTGCAAACAGATAAGCAAAGTGGTCCCAAATGAGTGACAATGCTGGTGATTAGTGTGCCCATTGCCGGCAACAGGCATCCTGCCAGGTAATCCAGTGCCCAGCAGAAAGAAGCCAGTACTGCTGTTGAGATTCCCGTGGTGAGATTTCACAAAAGATGCCAGACCCTGAAACTCACCCACAAGTCTTTTAATTCTGGAAGAGCCTTCATTTTGCCTTTGTTTACGATGGTCAAAACACTTTGAGAACAGCAGCAAAAGAAAAATGTATCAATTTACAAGTCTAAAACCATGTTTAATCATATTTTAATTTGATCTCCTGTATCTACTTGAAAACTACAGTAGTCTTGAATATTAGGAAGTCAGCATTATCACCATATGGAAGTCATTGTGACATTTACAACTCTATTTATTAACAATTTTAATAGGTTTTCATTTTTAAAAAAAACACGCGCTTACTACACAAAACTGAAGTTGGGCACCTGCACATGAAGAAATCATATCGCTTCTCAAAAACTGGCATCTTAACTACTGTTGCTAGCTGGCAATAGTTTCACATGGTAATCATCCCAATAATCACTTGTCCTGAAATGCTACGTCTGAGACCAAGTGAAAATTAAAAATTAAGTTACATGGTTATTGAATGCAACTAGAAATATGCCACAAAATTATTTTTACAATACAGTTCTGCTGAAATAATTCCTAAGTGAAGCCTTTCTTTTATACACATATACAAAGTTTAGACAGCAATATACACATTAATCACAGTGAGGATGCTGGTAAGTTCACCATCTGTAGTGTAGATACAAAATGCAAAGCAGCCTTCGAAGAGAACAATGCTACACAGCAAGCAGAGCTGGCCTGTTAAACAGCAAACACCCAAAGGTCCCCCAAAACGGGATACAGTGCAGGAAAAGCAGCATGCGCTTTTATACAAATAGCAGTTTATGGCTAATGGTCGACATAACTGTAGTAACAAAGACTCTTGAGCAGCTGTGCATAGTTAAAATTCCTATGTCATTTGTTTCTCTTTATACCACTCCACAAATTCATCCAGCAACACTGGCCCTGAAAAAAAAGGTAACAGATTTAAAAAAAACCCTTTTGTATATATTTTTATACGGTTTGGAGAAACAGCATCAGGTATGAAATTATTTTTGGTCTGCATCAAATACATACATGCCCCGTCTTCATCATAATTGCTGAGGTCAAGATTAATGGTTCTGCTGAATTCCAAAACATTGCACCACTGGTCCTTGTTGATAACCTTGTATTTAGATTGCTGCTTAAAACAAGAGGGACAGTTACTGAAAACAGAATTCTCCAATTTTAACACCTGCCTTTTGAGAAATGGCTGGAATTCAAGGTTACTATGAAAGCCAATTTTTGAAATATAATAAGCAACAAATACCCTGAAGTTTAAGTATTATAGCTACAATATTTAGGGGAAAATGTGAGCAGTTACTTTCCTTAATCAAGTACTGCACAAGAAAGTAATCCAGGCTATATCACCTATGAAGATACACTGCTGTGGGAATATAAAGGAAAGCTTCTTTACTTTCAAAGAACATGCATATATGTGCACACATACTACACACATTTATTTCATTATCACATCTGCAAAAGTGAACCACAGCAAAAATCCAGTTAACCTGTACTGCTACAGAGAGCTAAAAAAGAAAGGAGTACCAGAGGACATTTAATTGGATAAGTTTTAAAAATAGCTTTCTATTGAATTATATATATTCGTAGGTAAACCATACTGATGGCTAAACATATACAGGAAAATTAAGTCATCACCTCCAAAGGATTTTAACTTAGATCATACTTAGGATAAGTACTATTAAGTATCTTTACAATCAGGTGAGACAAGCCAGTATTCCTTCCATGTTAAAGATGTGAACTGAGTCTGACCAAGTTGTATGCATAATGTCACTTCAGTCATGTATTTCAGTTTATTTACAAATAATTAACACAAATATTCATGTAAGATAGCAACATTTTCAATTCACTCAGTGTTATTTCCCATTGTTAATTCCCAATGTTAATATTTGGTACCATCTGTGTTTTTTTTTTCTTTTTAAAAGAGTTCAAAATATAAAAAGGCCTTTCTACTTATACCTCTAGGAACTGGTGAAATACTGGAAAGAGAGGCCATGTTTTTCCTAAGAGAAGGCCTAACATACACTTGGCAGTATTTATATCTAGGCTTCGCTGGTCCTTTTCCTGTCAAAGACAAAAAAAAGTTAAGTCTACGCTCAGTATTTCTCATTTGAAACAGTAGCCATCTCAGGTTATTCTTTCCAAAGTATAACTGATGTATGAAGTATATTTAATTATCTTCATGTAGCACTATCTCACATTATTTTTATCATTTTAAATGCACACAGTGATGCCAGGCCTCCTAACTAGAGCTACCAGAGATTTATTTTTAAACTCTTCTGACGGTGTCAGATGCATGAATTTTCTTCATCTCTAATCTGAACAAGAGCTTTCTCAACTAGACACTTAATTAAGGTAGCAGTCCTATAACAATTCCAAGCATGGCTGACTGGAGGGCTGTTCGGAGCTGTTGGACTTTTTCTGTCTAACAATGCATTGGACTTCATCCTAGATGGTATATTCACTCATATCATTCCCAGCATTATCTTTGTATGTGAAAACATTCAAAGAGAAAAGATACAACTTTCCTCTACCAACATGGAGTGACTTGACATGCCTCTGCTCCTGCAGAGAATGTTGTTTTATTCCATTTGTCCTCAAGGAAGTGGCAGAAGCTTGCAATGTCCCCTTCTTCCCTGGCATTCACTCTGTATGTGAAATGCTTGGAGCCCATAGTTCTGATTCTCTGACTGTGAAATGGGTTGGCCAAAGTGGTTGGGGCTTGTGGGAGGGAGAAAGAGGAAGGAAGAAAGAAAAGCTAAGGAAGGCCTTACTTTGGCTCAATTTTAAGTTGGAATCAGCAGAGAATCCCTCTCCTTTCCATTTTAACCTCATAACAACACTGTGAGGCAGGTTAGGCTGAGTCAATGACTAGGACCGTGATGACTTTAACAGTTTTCCTAGTCCCAATCTAACCACTACCACACTGGTTTACCAAGTGAACACAAGGTATCATAAAGCTGTCATATTTTATTTTAACAGTACAAGTGGTATGAAGTGATATGGGAATAATTAAAGGTCAACTGAATCGATTTGAATAGGAACGTATTAGGGTAATCTGGAGAAGTGTTTGGGGGTTCAGATTTAAACATTTGGAGTGATTTAGATGGAAAGTTGGCTTTGTAAAATTTAAGTTCTATTGTTAAGTTACATATATACAAATAAATTAGCATATGCAAATTGGGTGCTGTAATTTATCACATGCCTTAGCTCTACTAACTCTTTTCAATATCTAACAACACCCCCCCATGGGAGATTACAACAGGGCAGTCCAGCACTAGGCAAAAGGCAGCTTCAGTATTAAGTTCTCCAGAAACAAAGCAGTATGGGAGTCAACCCATTCAAATAATCACAAGTGCAAGGAATGTTGATTTGCAAATTATTCATTTGAGATTAATAAATATATGCAATGGATTAAAATTATAAAACCAGAAAAGGGATTTCACATACTGCCAGACCACTAGACTGACTTAGGGCACGATTCTTTTGCATATTTAGACAGAAAAATGATCTGCACATCCCAGCCAGGACTGCTCAATTATTTTAGTTAAATAATTAATTATTTTAGGAATTCCATTATAAGAATTTCTCCCCATGAAAGCAAGAAGTCATGAAAACAGTGATCAGAATTTGTAGTTCAGGCTACTTACACGTGCAAAGTCAAATGCATATCTGTAAATAAGTTTAAAATTTGTAGGTTCATTTAATAAAGATCTCAAGTAATCCAAAGAATTTCTTAGTTTTTCTGTTGTATCACATCTGTAAAAAAAGTTTCAGAGCATTAGCTGCACTATTATAGCCACTGGACAATTTTCTGTCTGTAATCCCTTTGTTCCTCAGAATTTATAAACTGCCTTTCCAGAAAGGGATTACAGAAAAGGGATTACAGAAAAATATATAGCAGCTATTAAACCTACTCTCCTGTCACTTAATTTTATACTTTTAATATAATATGCAAATCAAGACATAATATAGTTCTTCCACATAGTTCATAGATATTTGTGAAAAGGAACTACAGACGTTTGAAATTATTTTTATATACTAAAGACTACTGAAAATTACTGGGTCAGTTCAGTTTCTGTGAACTTAAAGTTTGTAAGATAATGCTGAATCTACTTCACAGTTGAAGATTAAGTTAATACTTACTGCAGGGATGTCATTCCTTTTAACCACTCTTGCAATGTAAAGTAACCCATATTTTGAGCATCCAGCTTCCAAGCTAACACAAGCATAACTACCTGATTTAAAAACAAAAAACAAAACTTGCATTACAATGCAGAAGTACCTAGAGTTCTTAAATGCTTTGAAAGGTCACACAGCTTTTCCTTAAACATCCATCTCAGCAAATTTGTTCTACTAAGTAAGATACAACTTTTCAGTCTATACCATGTTTAATGTTTTTAGTTGGGCCTTTCCCATCTCACTTCCAGCCAGCTCTTACAACAATAATACAAATGATACGAGCCATGGCACTGGATAAACACCCTGTCCAAAAGGCAGCTCAAGGCAGAGGTGGCTAAACAACTCCTTTGAATCCAGAGCTTTCAGCACCAACAGAAACCTATTTCACAGCAATCTCAGCTACCAGTAAGAAAATGAAATAAATTACTCTAGAATTATTATTTTTTAAATGGGAGAGTATGGACAACTTGGTGGGTGCCAGGGGTACTACAATGCCCAATTGGGAATTTGCCTTTATCCTGTGGGACACAGTCTCAGTTACAATGCAAGAAAAGGCACTGGGAATGGGCTATACTGAAGGCCAAAGGGGAAAGGATTGCGTTTCTAGAATACCAGTTGCTTCCTCCCTTCATGTGTAAAACTTCACTCCTTTTGTTAAAACACTATTATGATGGCTACTGATCTCATCCTTTCCAGATTCACACAAAAAGGTATTTCCTAAATAGGCACCCACACATCTTTGTTGGTAATACTTCAATAGGAACTGGATAGAGGAAAGAAGATTGCAGGGATGTTCCCCCTTCCTCCTAAAAAAACCCCCAAATAACTTTCTTTTTCTTCAGTACAAAATAATAGTTTCAATTTGTAAGCTGCTCAAGAGGCAACAGTTCAGAGCAAAATATAAAAAAATGATTTTCTAAAAAATATATAAGATTGTACTTCCCCACTTTTCATTGTCTAAAAATGAAAATGAACTTGAACATACATTTTCTGGTTCAACCCCAATGTCTTCACAGAATTTCTCCATTCCTTCAGGACCCACAATATCATCTGTCCCTACAAGCAAATGAAATGGTGTTACTTCACTTAAATAGCTACAATTACATATTACCAATCATTCAAAAAGCAGGATTGTTCAAATACTGCAGTCCCACAAGGATATGATCGTTCAGACATTTCTCTACGTGTGGGAATACAAACAGCAGGCACCAGGTTCTGATTCTTCCTCCAACTCCTTTCCCAACTTGGTGACCTATAGATGTTTTGCAGTTCAATCAGCCTCTCAGGATCTGGGCAGCTCCAAGGATCCATCTACTCATCTAGCACCAGAATAGAAACCCTAGGAGTTGCAGGATTGGTCCCAGACTCTGCTGCAGTCTCCAGGGCCCTGATGGTCACCATCTGGGAGCCCTGGTGGAATAGCTAAAGAAGAATGAGTTCTTTCCTCCAGGAGCTGTCTCAGCAACAATGGCCTCCAGTGTGCTGTAGCCTACCCTGTGCTCATCACCCTCTGCTCCTGACCTCTGGCCTGCTCTAACTACATTCTTGCTAATCAGACTATACCTCATTTTACGCCACTGTCTACTCCTGGTTCTGACTTTGGCCTGCTTTGGATTGCAACTTGAACTGGCTCCTGGACTGGTTACTGGAACACTGGACTTCTATCACCCTGATTCCTGCTGCCTGAGTCCCAGTGCATCTGATGAATACTCTGCTGCCCATGCTCCAGACCTCACACAGACTCAGCCAGCATGGCCAATGGTGTGCAACACCGGAAATTGGAGTCCAAAACATCTGGATGGCATCAGTTTGGGGAAGGCTACTCTAATGATCTATATCCATGTACACCATTCACAAGATGATGAAATTCAAAGAGATCCTAACTGTTCCTCAAAGGAGAATTTTGAAAGTCTGTCTTTTTAATTGTTTCAATCATTAATCAAATCTTGCTCTTTCATCTTCACAGATATATACTGACTGCAGCATTAAGAAGAGAAACTGCAATCCCAAAATTAAACATTCCTCAATTCAAATACAACTTGGAACTGCAGACTTTTGCATCATTTGATAAAACACACTTTTCATAAATGTATCTAATAAATGTATTTGTAAAACTACTTGCAGATTAAAAACAAAATTCAAGCTATATCAATCCTGAAAATCGGTACTCACTAAATTTTTGGATCAGTAAAGTTTTTGAACTCCACTGCGAAGTTCAGTGATTGAATCCTCTGTTACAAAGAATCTTTTTCTTCAAATTGGAATTAATGTGATTCCCTCACCCAAATTTCAAGTTTACTGCACTAAGCAGGAGTGAACAATGTACACATCTGCTTACCTGCATATTCATAGAACCATTCTAAGCACCTCTTGCTTGAGAACATGTCATCTTCTGTCTTTATTCTAGCAGAATCATATTTTCTGTACATGCTGGTTATGAAGAGAAAGGGGTCAAGAATGTTTCAGTCAATAAAAGAGAAAATCCGATAATGTACTGCGGGACTTTGAAATACCCTTTCCCTTAGTTCTCCTAGTTAAACCACGGATTTCAGAATTTTCACACAATTAAATGAACACCAGCAGAAGTCAGGCTGACAATTTAAAACTAAAACACAGAACATGTTTATTTAACTCAGAACCTAGAATTCTCGTAACTTGCATTTCCCTTTGTTGAGATCTTCAGGGCCACAGACTTCTCTGAATTCTCAGCTTTCAAATTTCTTGTTATGGAATACAGAAGGAACACAATGAAGGACTGTTTATAGTTTGCTATCCTAGCCTGTTAACTAACTAAAGTATGTACAAACACCAGTTTTCCATAGCTAGATAAAAGCAGAAACTGCACTTTGTTTCAAACAGCAATCAAAAGCTTTGAATGCTCTTCCCCCTGCACATGGAGGTAAGGTGCGGAGGGAATTGGGTGAATCAAGGCATGCCGCAACTTGATCACATGAAAATGAGCTATGACTTCTGCTGAATCCAAGCAGAGCCTATATTTTCATCCTGACTGAAAGAAGGATGCACAAAATAAGAACACATACCCATCATGTCTACTCTTTTTAGCCGATAGGTCATCTCCAGCTGCAGGACGCCTCTTTTTTCTTGGAGGCATTACTTTGCTAAAGCAGTCTGATGAACTGCAAGACCTAAGACTTCCTAGGGAATAATTTAGGGGAGACAAACAAGGATTAGACACAAAACTTTAACAGTCAGCAATGATTTAAAATATTTCTACTTCATAATAGGTGATACAACCAGTGAAGTAAAAACACAAACTTTAACACATCAGACAATAAACCGTAACAAAATAACACAGTGGCATTAAAGGTCAGAACATAAAACTTCGGCAGAAAAGAACCGAAACCAGAAAATTCTCAATTTAAATAAGCAGAAGTCACACAACAGGTTGCAAACTGAAAACCACTGCTGCATGAAATAGATAAAAGTAGGATCCAGGTGCACAGATTTAAGGAGGGTGTCCCAAAAGCATGATGCCACTATTAAGAAAACCCAGCTTCCAGTAACCACCCATTTAGACTCCTCAGCGGGTGGTTGCCAAACAAAAGCTTCCCTAGATGATTTCAGAAAACAGGCCAATTCATACAGGAGCATGAAATAAATTAAGATGTTCTGCACAGTTTGGGTCCACATTAATATCAGCATTTAGAACTACCATAAGTGAAGCTCTTTCACAAGCAGCAAGGTATGGGCCATATAACCTGCACAGGTCATAATCTAGCTAGAGATTCCACACATGTTCCTTAGGCATCCAGAATAAGGGCCACATCTAAAAGTGTTCTCAAATTGTGAATCTGATCCAGACTGGGAAATGCATCCCCAACTAGAACAGGTTGAAGTTCCTTTTTTTGGTCACAACCAAGAAAACTTCCATCTTCTCTAGATTTCATTTAATTAACCCACATCCTGTCCATTGCTGATCGCAAGGCACCATGTCAATATTTCCACCTAAGAGGAAAAGTAGTCTTGGGTATCACCAGTATAACAATGACAATATTTTATCTTAAATCCCTGATTGACCTCATTCAGTAGTTTCATGGAGACTTTGAAAAGTGGTGGTATCAGCAGCATGTATGTGGGGATACAGCACTACAGAATTACATGTCATCTGTGCCAAGATATAAAGGAACAGACTTCATCCTCGCCATCCCAGGCACCTGCCTTCTGATACAGGTATTGCAGAGGCCAAGGGAACTAACAAAATTATACTCCTACTGTCCTGTCGCAGCAGTATTTGTGTCAAACTCAGGCCTAAAGCCAGACTGAACCTGAGCTAAGTAGAGCTAAAAAAATAACTGGTCAGGAATTATCAGATCATCAAGCATTCTCTGTTCCGTACTGCAAATTCTAAAGAATTAATCATTTTTAACAGCCTCTTCAAATACCTAATCCTATGTAGTTAACTTAAATCCAGAATTTGCTTCTCATGGACTCCTGTGCCTTCTCAGGAAGATACAGATGCTTGCCCTGTTTTCAGCTGATCCCAGCCTTCTTCCCTTCTGCCAACATTGTTTCCTTCATATATACATGCAATGTAGTAGTAGTAATAATTACAACTAGTACTATTAATGTGTACCATCCTCTACAAGCCAAATCAAATTCTATAGAGAAATCAAAGACGAATACACAACTGTGCCCATAGTTCCTGTATCCTCAGTTTCAGTGTTCACCCCCTCCCAACAGTGGGTAAGAACTGCAGATGAAAAATCATGAAAAAGTGCGCAGACCTTACATTGTAAATGAGCACAAAATGCACGACGGCAGAGCATCTTTCAGCTTGCACAACACAGAAGATGACAGTTTTAACTAAAACCTCCTATGCTTTTCAGTATATGAATTAAACTGCACAAGCCTTAATTCACCTTTTCAGCAGAAGGCTTTTTGATCCTGGAATGTAAACTACAGTAAGCAGCCCAAAAGAAGAACCACAGCTTTGAAGCAGAGGACATGTTTTGGATACAGAACGTAGCAAGTCCCAGACGGATCTTGGCTTGATGTCTGGGAGAACCACTGCTAGGTCAAATAACCCATCAGTTTGAGTTACTATAATAAAGCTTCATATGCCCATAATAGTCATACACACAATTGTTCAATGTAGGCAATTATTATCACTGTTGGTTTTAATGTCTTAAAACCACCCAGAGCTTATGGGGATGGAGCTATATATAAAAACTAACATAAATAAATAAAATGACCCTGTGCCCATATTGATGTTACCAAATAATAACTTTGAAAGTTTCCAATATACACTATTGTAAAATTATTTCATGTTTCAAAACTCAGTAAGCTGGTTCACACATCACAGTGGCAATGCCTTGGATAACCCAGGAACTTCAGCAATGTGTTAAGAGTGCGAGTCATGAACTTGCTGCTTCCACTTCTGATTAACATCCCAGAAATGTAGCATGTGGCAATTGCTGGGTTAACGCTGTGTTCTTTAAACCATAAATAACCCAGAGTTTCTATGTACACACTGATCTTCCTACATTGTTAATTAAAGTGGAAACAAAGTCCAGTTCCTAAATTAAACAACCCAGGAATCACTACTGTAATGGACAAATCAGGTCACTGGCAGCTGTTTCTTTTGAAAAGAATACAACTTTAGAACTACAATACAGAGCAGTATCTCTGAAATACATAATAAATTCTATTCTCTAGGTTTGCAACATATGCACAATACAGTTATCTCATAAGCACAGACAGCCAATGAAATGACTGCAACATTGCAGGGATTGTGAATCTAGGATGCTGTATGAGTACATACATGGTGCAACCACATTCTTGAAAAATTGTTGAGAAAGGGATTTTATTTGAACCCATATCCTTAACATTATCTTAAAACAAACACACCTGTACAGCATCACTTTATAGCACTCCTGGTATTTTGCTGCCACAACAATAAACTCAAAGAGCAAGTGATATAATGGTACTCAAATACATGTGGCCATTCTCTTTCCTAACACTGAAACTTACAAGCATATTGACCGGTCCCTCGCTTTATATTAGTTCCTAAAAAGGAACATCTCTATTTCTTGTTGATATTAATGCCTATACAAATTTCTCTACACCCAGCATTGTTAAAAATGCATTCTACCTGTTTGGCGATCGTCTTGACTGGCGTCTTCTGTCAAATTCTGTAAAATATTTAAATCAAAGCAGTTAACTGGGAGTTCAGCTATTGCCAGGTAATTTTAAAATATCACCAACTATCCCATCCTCCACCTTCTCTATTGCTGCTATGCCACATTTTAGAGACTGTCCTCTAAAGAGACACTCATGGCACTACAGATCAATAACAATAAAACATTTATTGACTACATTTCTATACAACACAACAGTTAAATAAATGCTTGGAGCTTCTAGAGTGCTTCTCATGGTAAGCTCGCTGTATACATTTCAAATTAAGAAAAGGAACCTAAGGTGATATTTTGGAGAAACAGACCATTTCTAAGTGAAAAATCTTGTAGGACTTCTCATCTTAGTTATTCTGTTTTTCAGCAGAAGCTTGGTAGGTAGCTTAATACAGAGGGATTTGCAGGAGGACATTTACCATACAACTTTTATTCAAAGAATAACCTGTATAATATTCTGCCTTAAAAATGCCCATTTTACAAAATCAGAAGTATTCAAGAAATCTTATTATTTCCATTTAATTTCTGTAACCATCAAAAGGTATGGACACAAGGAAGGTGCAGATTTCAGGAAAAAAATTTCTAGAATACAAAGCTCCAAATAACTCATCCATACTTCAAACTTAGTAACTAAGAAGCTGCAGTATAGTTTCCTCCACCTTCAAAGCCAGTCAGCCATGCACATCCTACTTAGAACTTGCTAGTGATATCACAGGTGGATCAAGAATGAATCTGGGTGAAGGCAGATGATTCAGTAGGTAATATGATATCTAGCCCTAGAGGTCTGCAGAAGCATAGCTCTGAGAGAGAAGATGCAAATGCTAAAAAAGAATTTCCAAAATCACAAACTTGCCAATAGTCTGTCAGCACTTGGCTTTAGACAATAGTAAGCATGGCCAAAAGGATAAAATTCTGAGAATTGCTGCAGCTCTATAGAAAAGAGCAATTCAAGCAAATTCTAGTATAAGGGACAGTTTGGCAGAACACCACTGAAACTGTAAAGTGCCAGAGATCATAGCCCTCAGATTCTCAAATAAAAAGAAAAAGGGGAGCTTCTAAAATCAGGAGCAACAAATTAACAGTCAAGAGACACCAAGGATAAAATTAGAATGGACAATACTACTGAACAGCATATCACTTGTGAAGTAAAAGTGATTTGTTTTTGTTTTTCGGCGCCAGGCGAAGACCTTTTTATTCAAACGTCATTTTAACTGTTAATAGTATTTATTTATTTTATTCTTTGGCCAGGGCAACTTATTTTATATTGTTAACTTGTTTTATATTGTTAATTTATAATATTTTAATTTATTTATTTGTGAGCTGCCCCGAGGCTTCAGCGAATTGGGCGGCATAGAAATTTTCTAAATAAATAAATACACAGAAGGGAAAACTTGCAGGAAGTCTCAGTTTCAGGTGTGGCAAAAGTGACTTAGGATGACTTAGCTAAAAGAGGCTATAACATCTATTGCATGTATGAGTGAGCATGCAAAGCAGAACCTACAAGTGTTACTTGCCTTGCACATGTTATGCACACTACAGCAACCTTGCCCAGTCACTCCAGGGAAGTAAAACCTCCTCTTTAAGAATGTTCATGACCATCCCAAGAGCTCAAAGGTTACAATTACTGATACATGGCATAGGAGCAGATGGGGTTAGGTGCCGTTTGTGGTGCTGGTACAAGTCAGGCGATCAGCACTGCAATAAAATTTTCTGGATGGTGTGTGCGCGCAGGGGTATGAACGTAAAATATGTAAACTGTGCATGTATAAGTAGTGTGAGTGTTCATATGGGAATGGGATTGAAGAGGAAGTAGAACAAAAGAAGGTATTACACCCACTTGAATTTACATAGGTTTTCTATTACTCTTTTCACAGTAATAGGAAACAATATCTAAAATGGACAATAAGACAATATAACTAGCAGATTAAAAAATTGCAACTGATTACCAGCCTATTAAGAGTGTGGTAAATCTTGTGAATATTTGCCAGTGTTGATAGATGAGAGTTCAGCTGAAAATCTAGAGAGAAAAAAATAATTTTTTTCTTATTTTTGTTATGCCATCCTATTACACTGCTTACTGAACACCTTTCAAAAATACGGCACAGATTAGGCAAAAGATTTACTCTGAACATTTAGTTAACCAGAATTTTTAATTTTGGACTGCCTTTCTACTGTCACAAGCAAGAGCAATTATGCCTAGTTTTTCAAAATGCCGGCAAGCACCATTATTCCTGCTTGTCAACTTACCAAATCTCCAACCGTAATGTGAATACTTCCAATTAAGCATAGACCTGAAACACCCATACAGCTCACATTACTCACCAACTGTACACTTCAACAAAAGGGTCAGTGAATTAGTCCTGAACTAAATTGCAGGTCATCTTGATTTTAATGTTTGTAAGCCATCCTGAGATGTCACGCATAGAGGACGGCATATAAAAGTTTTGAATAAATAAAAATAAATCTTTTGCTAGCTTTACAAAGAAACAAAGAAATAACCTACTTCACAAGAATTAAATAAGAATGTTCAAACAATATGATACCATATATAGATACCTCACAGACATGCATTTAAATTGAAGTCCTGCTAGCAGATCTGCTATCTAACAACGAACATGCTGGCAATTTGTACACATTAAAAATCATATAATTTATAACAGTCAATAAAAATGCCCAACACAAAGCAAACAATACCCTACTTCATGGCCATTTTAAGAGCATTCTTTAAAGTGTTCATTAAAGGAAAGCTCCCTTGACTTGTGGCACCTTAAAGACAATGTGTTTTTAAATTTCCACAGACACTGTCCAGTTCTATTGCATGAAATGATAACCTCAGATTAATAGATTTATATCAGGGGTATGGCACTGCAGGCCTAGAGGCCAAAATGAGATCTCCTGGGAGCCAGATGGCCCCACACCTTTTCCCCTGCCCACAAATTGTACGGTTTCCCAACTGTGGTGCAATTATCCCCACATTCTAAAAGGTTGAAATGCCTCTCCTGCAAGTTAGCTATTGAAGGTAAGAGCTTTAAACTGCAATGTGCTGATATGCTTTGTATTTTGGACCCCACTTCCTTTGCCATCAGCCCTGCTTATCAGTGGAAGGATGCCTGAAAAGCATCTCCAAAAATGAATCCAGCCATTAGGATAAAACACACTCTTTATCCCCAGCCCACTGGGCTATTTGTAGACTCTGGATAAAGATTTCTGGAATACATAAGAGATCCAGGGGCACTAACTAATCTAACTGAAGAGACCTAGACATGTACATTTAGTGGGGAGACACAACCCAGCACTGTATTTTTGGCCCAGCCTCTCTGCCTTTGCTTCTACCCGCCAGTGATATGTGACCCTCCAAAGGTTCTCCAAAAGTGAATTTGGCCCTTGGGCTGAAAGAAGTTTCCCACCCTTGTTTTATATACATTTATATACTGTACATCAGAGAGTACCACAGTTTACACCCCTCCCCACCCCTTTCCAGTATATACAAATTTGTCAATCTAAGGTTAACAGTCTATGTATTTGATGGAATTGCAGGTGCCCAAAAAGTTTTGTCTATAATAAATTTGTTAGACTACAAGGTGGTGGCAATGGTGGTGCTTTTTCCCTCTGCTTCAGAAAAACACAACTGCTCTCAGGAAAGTGTCACAAAACTATTCTTGCAAATGACTGCATGAACTTGATTCTATCCTATCTGAAACTACTTCAAGTCATGCTTTAGAACCTAGCAACATTAAACTTGTGCAAGGCCATAACCTTCAGAGACCTAGACCTTACCCTCAGCTATAAGTAGGGGCAGCTGGGCCAGCATAACTAAGATAATGAGACTTAACCTGCACGTCAAGCAGAACTATAACGCACATCAATGGTGGTATGTTCCAGAACATGGTCTGGCCCACGATGCAGAGGAAACCACCTGGAAACCCAATGTAGCTACCCTGAGTTCCAAGAAGTTAAAAAAAGTGGGGTGTAAATATAATAAACAACCACTGTAGCAGTTCACAGCAAATACATATTTGTGTCAACATAATTGTCTCTATGGATCCAAATGTTACTAGAGCTATATAGTGGCAGGTCATCTAAAGGTGCCACCATAAAAGATTAACAGTACTATATAATGTACTCTGGCAGTGATATTTTTTTCCTGGCATGGCAGCACTGGAGCATCCATCAGCACAAAATCCTGGCTTGCCTACCAAGAAACACACTGCCTTCTAAATTAAATCATTTGTTGGCAAGAGTTTTTCACAGGATTGTACATTAAATTTATTTTAAGATTAGCTTTTGGTCAGCTCAGTATTTTTATTTTTACATGAGGCCTTAAGGTCACTTACCCCCCATAGAAGCCATTATTATCCTTAACATGGATATTCTGTTTGGCTCTTTGCTTTAGCTCTCATAACAGACAAATGTAGAACGTAACACACAAAGAAGTTTTGTATCCTCAGTAATATAGTTATACTTTGTTCCGAAAAAAATCAATCTAGAAAAAAGAAGCTTTGCTATATGCCTATATGAATGCAGCATCTGTCTAGACTCTGTATGCACATGGACTAGCAAGAAGTGAACTGGAACGGTCAAATTATTGCTGATGTCACAAAAGAGGACATTCTGACCTGAACTGATTTAAAGAAGCAGTGATATCTCTTTCACCATGAACGTCTGGAACCAAGGTGAGTAATAAACATTATTGATACAAATTTTAGCCATGGTCATAATCTTCCTTTAGTTGGCAATTTTTTAAACCAGGAAACACCATAGTCAGAGGGAAGGGGTGGCACATATCTAGCCCCTGCTTTGACATTTCCAGAAAGAGAATGAATCCAGTCATAGTCTCTTGTAAACAACTTTGCTCCTGCTGGGAAACGATTTCAAACTTCTCTTTATTTCAGTCTTCCCCAACCTCATGCCCCCAGCATATCTAGAAAGGACAGGACTGGGGAAAGCTGCTTTGTAATGTTAACATAATAAGCCCCTTTACTACTTTTAGACCATATTGTTCTTCAAAAAACTTGCTCCTTCCAATCCTTTGGTGTGCTCATTCTTAGAGCTAATCTCACGCAGAGCCACTGGAAGGTATTTTGCAATTGGTGTTACATACATCTGACCTAGCCTTATCATGTGGCTTGGTAAGATTCTACATAAAAGACTGATTTTGAAGGTGCTCAAGCGTCATCTTTAGTTATGAAGATCTGACTAACAGCCACAGACATTTACTGTGCCATGGCTGACTACAATGATGAAACAAGATGTTGATAAGCAGACACCACTGCTCACAGGACAAGAATACTACCAAGACTTCAGAGCATACCTCAGAATCTCTAGGGCAGGGGTCTCAAACTTGCGGCCCATGGGCCAATTGCCAGGATGGGCGAGGCACGGGGAAGGGGCCCTGCAGCCTTCAAAGCGCCAGCGGCGCCCGGGCCGGCCTCCGGGAGCAACGCGGGATGAGCGGCCCACCACCACCGCGGTGGTGGAATACTTGATGCGGCCCAGCCACACCCAGACTCTACTTCCAGCGGCCCCCAGGTAAGTTGAGTTTGAGACCCTTGCTCTAGGGACACTAGGAAGGCTTTTGAGAGGCAATCTGGGTACACATTAAGGGTCAATCAGCCACCAGCACCGTGACAATGTGGGTTTATATAGCTAGGATTGCTTGAACTGTGCTGCCCTGTAAGGCATTAGCTATATTCACTTGTATGGCTGAGATAGTTTTGCTGACATGAGTTTTGAAACTAGGCTGCTTCCTAATGGTGGCAAGTTTTATTGCTGGAATATAATCATGGACTAAGTGTGCAATCAATGCTATTATGGGAGCTCAGGGAATGTATCCTTATTTACTTTATCGTATTTATAAGCTTCCAAATAATCCAAAAGACTCTCTAGGCAGCATACAACAAACAAAAATTAGAAATATACCACAAAACATTAAAAACAGTAATTAAAATATAAACAACAAATTAATAATAATAATAATAATTTAACAGGATAATTCTAAAACCTGACAAACATAAAATGCCTAAAATTTCTATAAAATTTAAAATATCTAGAACAGGGGTCTCAAACTCAACTTACCTGGGGGCTGGTGGAAGTAGAGTCTGGGTGAGGCTGGGCCGCATCAAGTATTCCACCACCGTGGTGGTGGTGGGCCGCTCATCCCACGGCCGGCCCAGGCGCTGCCGGCGCTTTGAAGGCTGCAGGGCCCCTCCCCCGTGCCCCGCCCGTCCTGGCAACTGGCCCACGAGTTTGAGACCCCTGATCTAGAATCAATTATTAAGATCAATTATGAAAACTGTTAAAATGGGTGGAGAAATGTTTTTGCCTGGCGCCAAAATGAAAAGAGAATTGGCACCAGGTGAATTTCTCTGGGGAGTCTATTCCATAGGTGGGGGGCAGCCACCAAAAAGGTCCTTCTTCTATTTACCATCCCTCTCACCTCCTTGAGGGATGGCTCTTTCAGAAGGGGCTCTTCAAAGGCAGCCCCACATAGAACACATCACAGTAATCTAACCTGGATGTTACCAGTGTACGAGTGACTGTGGCCAGGCTCTGTATATCAAGGTAGGGGCATATTTGGTATATAAGCTACAGCTGAAGAAGACAGTCCTGGCCACTGAGTCCACTTGGGCCTCTAATGACAGTACTGCATCCACGAACACCTCCAAGCTATGGACTCTGCCCTTTAGGGAGAGTGGGACCCTGCCCAGGACAGGGAAGCGGCCACCCAACCTAGTAGGCAAGCGACCCACCAGCAGCACTTCCACCCTGTCTGGACTGAGTTTCAATTTACTGATCGTCAGCCAGTCTATTATTGAGCCCAGGCACTGATTCAGGACAGAGACCTGAATCAGGTGTACAAGAAGGTAGAGCTGAGAACCATCAGCATATTGCTGACATTACAGCCCAAATCTCCAGAAGACCTCTCCCAGTGGTTTCATGTAACTGTTAAACGGGGGGGGGGGGGGGAGTAATAAAGGAAGGGAAGAAGTGCATGCTATTGCCTTAAATTTTTACAGA